ATGCTCATTTTGGCATAAAACTATATTATTTACCTCCACCCATCCCAAAATACTATTTCATAGGTTATAAATATTTCCTGCAATAAATGTTATATGAGGTGCTTTAGCATCTTTAATGGTGTTCTGTAGGAGAGCTAATGACCTTGCATGCTGCAGGCATAAATTATTTTTCTGCACCTTCCCCTGAGTAGCTTTATGTAAATACATATGGTGACTACTGCTCTGCAGTGAGCTATTCACTTAATGGAGAAAAAAACCAAGATCCCATTTCATATAGTTGCCCTGTACAGTATTTGAGTTGATCCTATTCCACCAAATGAAATTGAATCCTAAGTATCATATGTAAGAAATATGGTAGATCTATATTCAGTTAATTTCATGTAACTATTTTGTGCTTTTGACCTTGGGAACAACAACAATTTTATCATTTCCCATCTGGCTGGGTAGCATACTATAGATAAACATTTGAATCCTGCACTGGTATATTTATTTGTGTTCCCTACAAAATTATAACCGGTATCTTATATTGTTGACATCTGTCTGTCTTCAGTGGCAATGGAGTGCACCTCTAGGTGTGAAGTCGAACCGATACATTTGCAGCACCAAAGTAACCTTCTCAGGGCACAAGCCTGGGCAGCGTGTATAGAGGTCCTGGGCTGCTCAGATGCTCTCACCTTTCTGATGTCCAAAGGTAGCAGCTTTGGCATCAGCATGGCTGCAGCTTGGCTGCAAGAGTTGCTGAAAGGAGGAATAAAAGGTGCCACCCAACCATTTTAGGGACTTCACTCCAGATTTGTGTAGGGTTTATTCCTTCAGAAAGGTGTTTGACAGCACAAGCCAAAGCACTGGTTGCTTAATAGTCTTGCAAAATATCTCTTGGTTTACATGAATATGTGCTTCTGTAAGGTAATTATTATGACGTCAACAGAATACCTAAGCTCTAACACAGGCATAGAGAATCTGTGGCCCTCCAGATGTTGTTGGACTCCAACTCCATTCAGTCCTAACCAGCACAATCCAATGTTCAGGGATGATGGGACCTAGTGTCCAACAATATCAGAAGGGTCACATGTTTGTTCCAACCAGTCAATACAGGAAGCCAAAACTTAAATTTATTGTTCATCTACAAGTAAATATAGCATAGTAGTGAAAAGATTGAGTTACAAATCTGGACTTTGAATTTCACTTTTGCCATAAACTCATTAGGTAGCCTTAGGCAAGACATTCTCTCAGCTTCACTCCCCATTTCCCCCTTTGCCTGCAAAATGGAGATAATAAATGCTAATCTACCTTACAGGATTACAATGAAATACATAAGGTACTTTGGGCATTCTAAAATGCTGTGTAAAAACTAAGTATTATTATTCCATTTTAAGGCAGACAAATTAACTATCCACTCTAAAAACACTGGTTTTGGTTCCCAGTCTAGCATTATTACAGTAGACACTCAATAATTTGTTTTAAGCCGCTGAGTGTGCTAAAATTATTTTGTTTTCATTGGCTGTGGCTCTGGGTGGCTGTAGTGCAGGTGGGGCAGCTATAGATAAATTGGAAGCTTTTTCTATAGCCAGTCACTTGACTGAACAGGGAAACTTGTTTTATACTGAAATGTAGCTTGTTCTCACCAGGTGATTGGCTGCAATAAAAGCTACATGTTCTGGCTACATGCATATATGCTTAGCCTTGGCTGTCTAGGATTGTAGCCAAGTCTTTCTGGAAAGTTGTATAGTATATATATATAAAGTAATAAACTCAAAATAATGACTGTGGAAATTTCTATTCATTAATGGCATTTCATGGAACTTCTCATGCTGTTTTGTTTTTCGAATCTGCACGAATACAAAATTTGGAGAACCATGCTCCCTGCTATTTGAAAAAGTCATTATTTTCAATAGCTGAGAGCTTCCAGTGCCATAGGTTGGAATATGAAATAATGAGTTTTCAGTTTCTTAAAACTGGGCATGTTTGAGGGTAGGGGAAACATTACTGCTTTAAAAATCCCAAATATTTTACCATATTTTCAGTAAAACTAATTTCAAAAGTAAGCAGTACTTCTTGCCCACGGTCATCTATATTCCATTAAATAAGAAAAAAATGTACAATATTGATAAGTGTGTTTTCATGATTTCCTATCTTAAAAAGAGGTGGGGTGAAAATAAGGGGAACCTGCAGTTTTATCTTTTTAGTTTCTTTGTTTCGAAGGGTTTCATCCATTCTTCGTAATCAGGTGTTCACTCAAATTTTGTTGTGCTAAAATCTAGTGCTTTGTTTTTTGCTACAAGGCAAATCATATTGATGCATACAGATTATATTTCTAAGAATGCACATTGTTCTGCATGTCAGCGTGAGGATAAGAAATGTTTTGTGCATATGTGCTTACCAAGGTTCTCATTAAAGTAATGCTTCTTTGACCTATGCCATTATAAACCAGACTCAAAGGCAAGAAAGCTTGTACTAATGAGTAGCAAGCATATCTTTTCCTCTCACAATTAGGTTACAGTCAGTGGCAAAACCAGATGGGGCATCTATGTGATGCTTATGCAGAAGAGTCTGGGATCAGCAACAGTAGTTTTAAAAAAACAACCCTGGATCATTTTATGATGGTCTTTGTAGTTTTGTCTCATTTTTAAATCTCTGTGTGTGTGTGCACACGTGAACGCACACACATATGGGGGGGGGTAGAAATTTAGATATTCATAATGTCCAGTTTCAAGAGCTCTGGGCAGATAACATAAAATTTTAAATGCACATAAAATAACCAAATTCAGTGGTGCAATGAGGTGATTTTTACATATTGGACTTAATGGTCTTCGCCGAGTAGGGAATAGCTTTTTAGATTGTGATGTGCCATTTTATCCAGTATTACAGGATCAATTTCATCTACTGTGGTCTGAGTATGTGGGCAAGTGCTTACAGTGATTCAGCCAACTTTTAAGCCCCCCTGACTTTCTCCCATCATGGGAGTTAGCTAAGGAGTAAGTTGGTTGGGTGGATTCAGGGTGTGGTTAAGGAATATTTATACAAGGAGCAGTCCTTCTCTCTGTCTCTCTGTTCAGATAAGGTTCCAATAAATTTGATCCTACCTCTTTGCTACCACAATGTCAAGAATAGCAAGTTCCCTCACCCTCACTTATATAAACATGTGAGAGGGACACCAGCACTAGAGACAAGATGAAGATGAGATTGCTGATTTATTAAAGGGATACATAGCTGTCAACCTTTCCCTTTTTTTAAGGGAAATTCCCTTATTCCGAATAGGATCCCTCACAAGAAAAAGGAAAAGTTGACAGCTTTAGGGATACTAAATGCATAATGGGAATACTAATAATTATACCGAGGTCTTAAGAGTGCTTGTTGACAGCTTCCAAAGACGCAAGAGACGCTGTTTCTGACACTAGCCTCTAAGTTGCCAAATTCCCTTAACCTCCACCCTAGCCAATTATCCTTACGGTGCAGTCTAGCTACTGGGGACAATCTGTCTCTGTAGTGCAAAGCTCCTCTGATTGCACCCTTTCTGCTTGGATAGTTTAGTCAATCTAATATCCTACTTACTCTGGTAAGATATTTACATAGGGCAGCCTCTCCATCATCAACTCTCTCGTTCCTTGATCTTCACCAGAGAGGTATTAAAAACACAATAGATAAAAATATCCAGGCCCAACTTTTGCCTCAGCCTATATTTCTGGTCTTTTCCCTCACACTTCCCTCATCAATTCCCTTCTCCCTCCAACAGCCCAATTGTTCAGTTCCCAAATGTCAGTCCCTGACAGTTAAGTCCCAGCTGACTGGAACCTCCAGCCAATCAGAGTCTGCTGTCACACAGAGCCATCAGCCTGAACATAACTGGATCCAGGCCCCATCTAATGAAAACTTAAAGTGATTGTCTCTCTCCTCCTCTGTCAGAACCTGTCACCAAGAACCGCTGCTATACAGGCTTGTAGCATCATAACTGCACACAGCCTCAAATCTTTAAAGCCACGGTCACAGAACAGTTTTTCTTCAAACCTGAACATAAACAGACATAGATATATCACTGCCCCACAATCATTGTCATGGACAACCTTTATCAGGAGAGGAACAGAAGGAGTTACTTTTCCTCAGTCTCCCAATGGCTTTTGATACCAACAACTCCTGGACCAACGCCGTAGGATGGGAGTTGGGGCACCATATTGCAGTGGTTCTGCTTCTTCCTGCGGAACTGATTGGGTTACTGCACCTCATAAATACCCCAATGCCATTTAACATCTGCTTGAAGCTGTCAGGAGCAGTTGTAAGAAGATTTGAGGCAAGATGTCGTCAGTACGCTGATGTTCATTTCTACCTCTCTGCTACACCCGAGTCAGTGCTTGCTGTGCCTGACTTGGACTAGTGCTTCAATGCTGTAGTGAGCTGGATGAAGACCAATCAGCTGAAACTGAGTAAAACAGAGGCCCCATTGGTTAGCAGGTTCGTCCCTGTGTTTAGGAATTAGGAATTCACCAGTTCTTAATGGGATTGCACACTGACTGGAAGAATAGGTACACCGATCCATCGCTGTCATTGCAGACTCAAGTAACCACCATGGTGTGTCTTTCATAAAGGTAAAGGGACCCCTGACCATTAGGTCCAGTCGTGACCGACTCTGGGGTTGCGGCGCTCAAATCGCTTTATTGGCCGAGGGAGCCGGCGTACAGCTTCCGAGTCATGTGGCCAGCATGACCAAGCCGCTTCTGGCAAACCAGAGCAGCGCACAGAAACGCTGTTTACCTTCCCGCTGGAGCGGTACCTATATATCTACTTGACGTGCTTTCGAACTGCTAGGTTGGCAGGAGCAGGGACCGAGCAATGGGAGCTCACCCCGTCACGGGGATTCGAACCGCCAACCTTCCGATCAGCAAGTCCTAGGCTCTGTGGTTTAACCCACAGCACCACCCGCGTCCCGTGTCTTTCATAGAATTACGGAGTTGAAAAGGGCCACAAGGCTCATCTAGTCCAACCCCCCATTCAAAGAAGGAATATTTTGCCCAGTGTGGGGATTGAACCTACAGCCCTGAAATTAAGAGTCTCATGCTCTACCAACTGAGCTATCCCAGCTGAGGAGTGCCTACTGCCATCTGACTGGTACGCCCATTCCTAGACAAGGGTAGTCGGTCAGTGTGACCCATTTACTGATAATTTGACTATGCAGGGCTCTGCAAACAGCAACTAGTGTAAAACGCAGCTTCTTGGCATCTTACTCTGGCAGTGTATCATGTACATATTATACCACTACAGGCTGTTTGTAAACTAGTAGATGAGGTTTAAAGGTTTGGTATTGTCTTACAAAGCCCTAAACAACTTGGGGCAAAATTACCTGAAAGAGCACCTTTTCCACTATTGCCTAACAGAACCATTATCTTCAGCTAAGGAGGCCCTCCTGGTGGTGCCACAGCCTATTGAAGTTTAGTTAGCAGCCACTAGGAGGAGGTTTTTCTGTGGTGGCACCTGTACTGTGGAACCACCTTCCCTCAGAACTTAGGCTAGAGCCCAAAACAATAAAAATCAGGTGTCTTTTAAAAGCACATTTGTGCTCCCAGCAAAAAGTCCCTCCTAGATTTTCAGTTGCATTTTCGCCTTCTATTTCAGGTTTTGATATGTGTTTTAATATTGTTGTGCACTACTGTTGTACACCACCTCAAGACTTGCCATGGGAGGCACATGAAAATGCTCCTAGTAAATAAGTAAATAAATTATGTGCATCCAGCTAAGCCATTGAGCGAATGGAACAGCTCTTGCTGATGTAAGAACATCCCCTACCTCTTCTCCCAACATGTGCTCCCCAAACCCCACACCCCAAATCTGCTCTGAATTCCCCTCAACCCTCTGGAGCAGAGTTGGGGGTGGGAATGTTCCATTGTGTGAATAGAAGTCATTCCACTCACTCCAAAATGTGGTGCGGTAGCCCTGCTGTGCTTGGGAGCTATGGTTGTCCATTTTGCTGAGTTGGGGTGCTGAACGTCTGCCCCAGACGTGCACCATTGGCCATATTAAAAGTAAATACATAGAAAACAATCCAGCAGCCACAAGCATTAACTTCATCAGAAAATGCCAGCTCAGATAAGAATATTTTATAGCTTATTTTAAAACATAGATTGGAAGCAGGTCTTGGGGTTGTACCAGTCTGGCTGTACCAGTCAGATGGCAGTAGGCACATCTGAACCAAGAGACTCAATCATGCTTGTTTGTTTCAGTGTTAAGTTTCTCTTGGCACTGGATGTTGAATGCACTTTCCCACTTAGGAAGCACTCGTGTTCAGTCTGACGCTTAGGCCCAGTGCCCATGTCAATGCACAGAGGTGAAAGAGGAGGCAAAACTTAACTCCTTAGCAACTATGAATGGAATACAAAGAGGAGACAGTATTCTGGTTTATGAGTGTAGTCCTGTGAAAGTGACATTTTGTTCTGTTCTGTTCTGTTTGTAAATAATAATACCAGGAATAACTGTGAAGCATAATTGCAGTAACCATTTTAATGCCACATAAAAGGTAAGTTTCATATCCCACTTAGTACTATTCCTTGATAAGCATGCTTTCATTTTTGCTCATCCCCTTCTCTTATGAACTGTCTGAATCCCACTAATGAAGATAAAAAGTAGTGGGTAAGAACTGCTCATTGTAACCATTCTACCAGATTTGAAGTTAATTTCAGAAAATGCGAGAAATGAATCATACGTAATTATTTCTAAATATGTCAGCAGTTATTTAATAAAGGTCCTACACATTGCCGTGTCCAGCCCTCTTTGTTCTTGTTGCATCTTGGTGGGACTGCTCTTGCTTATCTCAGCTTGCCTTTCAGACCGTCTCGACCTTTTACTATGAAATGTATGTAAATATTCCAGATTGAGATTGATAAATGTTGGTTTAACAAGGCTGTTGCTTTATTGGATTATAGGCTGGTCTATATTAGATATATTTGATTATATTGTGTTACAGCAGCATTATTTGCACCCAATGTAATTACAGTTGTGTCGGAACCTACATTGCAAAGTCCACCTTCCATGACTGTTGATATTCATTCTTGCCGGTGATGTGCCATGCCGTAGCGCTTTGCCAGGAAATGGTTCTAAAAAAAAGGAAATTGGTTTGGTGGATGTTAAAAGCAGCACACAATGGATTTGCTTCATTGCTTTCTGTTCTCATTGGTGTTCTGTTAATTTGCTTTATTGAGAAAGGAGTAAACTAGCTTCAAATAATATGAAAAATAGAACGAATAGAAGCAAATGTTTTAACTATTTCCTTTCCTCAGTAGTAATGTAATCTACTGTAATCCTGGCACATTTATTTGAGGCTTGTACCACTGAACCTTGTGGAATTTAGTTCTGAATGAACGTTCAGAGACAGTAAGGCTATAGTCCTAAACTCACTCATTAGAGCTGCCTTCCACAACCTGGCATGGAGGCACCTGCTAGATATTATTGGACTACAACTCCCATCATCCATGTCCATTGGCCATTCTGATGGGAGTTGTAGTCTAACAGCAGCTGAAGTACACCAGGTTGGTAAAGGCTGCACTTGAGAGTAGGACCCATTGGACTGTAATAGAGTTTACGTCTGAGCAAACATGGTTAGATGATGCTGCAGAGCTTCAATCCTAAATCTGATTACAGTTGTACCTCGGGTTACAGACGCTTCAGGTTACAGACTCCGCTAACCCAGAAATAGTACCTCAGGTTAAGAACTTTGCTTCAGGATGAGAACAGAAATCGTGCTCCAGCAGCGCAGTGGCAGCGGGAGGCCCCATTAGCTAAAGTGGTGCTTCAGGTTAAGAACAGTTTCAGGTTAAGAATGGACCTCCGGAACAAATTAAGTTCTTAACCCAAGGTACCACTGTACTTGAAAATACATGACACTTTTTATAATAAGTTTACACATAACCCAACTGAAGTAAATTGCAAATATTGCATGATTGTAATCTCAGCCTGGATGGACTCCGCTATAATATTACACATGCTTATCAACCAAGCACTAAAAACATTTGAGCCTTTGATGATTGGTGCAGTTCTGTGGGCATGAATTTTGGTTGCAGGCTTAGCTGAGGATCAGTATACAGAGCATTTTATCCCCCCCCCCCCCTCAGTGAATGAATAGAGATGTATGCTGCCCCCTTATATTTGCATGATGGGCATAAGTAAGCAAGTACATTCTCTTGCAAAGGTAGAAACTCTGATGGGCAGTCATTATAGACAATTTGATGCTAGCTCACACCATTATAATCCCTGTATTCTGGTGTGCCCAAATGATTAACTGCTACCTTACTTACAACCCACCAGCAACAAATATCCAGAAGAAAGGGGTGGGGGTGGGGGCTTGAAATAGAATAGTGATAACTTGCTCAGTAGCATCTGGAGAACTATAGGAATAAATTTATCCGTGCTCCATAAACACTTAGACATTTATGGGCACAGAATGCATTTATTCCCTGATAACCTCTCTCTGGCATTGGGTGTATCACTTCACTATCTGCTTGCCAAACTACATCTTGCAGAAACATTTCATGTGAATCTTTACTGGAGCCCACATCTACCGAGTTTTTAAAACCTCATAAAATTAATTGCAAGGTGGCCACGATAGGGAACAGTGGAAAGCTGATCTTCAAATATCTCCATTGTCCTTTAAAGTTGAGCTGATGAGCCAAAAGACTGCTGGTTTTTTCCCATAGAACGGTAAAATTACTTTTAGCATGAATGATACTGCTCTTGTAAAGCATCTGCTATCTTGCACACTGATAAAAGCCATGGTTCTTGCATTATTAGCCTGCATCTGGTCTCAATTATTATGTAGTTAATTGAGAAGCAGAACAAGTGGGGTTTACATCATTGTAAAGTCTTAAAACTATTCAAGACAACTAACGAAGCTCATTGAAAGGTCTGCAAAGATGCACTGTTCCTTTCAGTGACACATTGGCAGGGGCTGTTGATTCAGGACTGCATGATTGTGAAATCCTCTGCGGTTGCTCCCATTCATCTCCAGCTATGTGACAGCCATGCTGATAAAAAGTACATGTAAAGTGGGGAGGTGGGTCGGTTGTATTTTTTTTTAAGGGCTTGATTAAGATGATTCATGGAAATTCAGAATCATCTGTGGACCTTTCATGCTCAGGGATGTTATAACCTTTGAGTACCAGAGGCTGGGTATAAAGCAGAGGTCAGACCAGGGATCGGCAAACTAAGGCCCGGGGGCTGGATCTGGCCCAATTGCCTTCTGGATCCAGCCCACAGACGGTCCATGAATCGCCACGTGGATTGGCATGGGGATTCTGATCATTCGGGCTGCACCATTCCCCCCCCCCATTCACACACACCATGGCGGGCCTCCTCCCTCCCTCCCTCCTCCTGGCTTCTCCCCGCCCTGCCTAGAGGAGGAAGGGGGCTGGGCTTTGTTGAGCCACGGTTGTCTGAGTGCCATTTTAAGCAGCCCCTCTCCGGAGCCAGCCCTTTCGCACCGCTCATCGTCCTACCGCCGCCGCCAGCCCCTGCCGCTTGCAAGGCACAGGTAAGCAGCCACCGGGGCTCATCCAGTGCTGTGGAGAAGGGAGGGGAGAGTTGTGGGGAGGGATATTTCCCCAAAATATAGTCTGGCCCCCCACAAGGTCTGAGGGACAGTGGACTGGCCCCCTGTAGAAAAGGTTTGCTGACCCCTGGGTTAGACTGTCATCATCATTTGGTATCCAAAGATAGCTTATCAAACACTGTTGGAAAGAAAATGTTGGAATGGGGTGGGCCTTTTGATCGAGTCCAGTAGCATCCATTAATAAGGACAAGCAATTTGTAATGTTTGAAACATAAACTTTTCAAAAAGAAGGCTGCAATGTAGGGGGGAAAGACCTAGGGGTCATGGGAGATCTACAACTCCCATGATCCCTAGATAGCAGGACCAGTGGTCAGGGAAGCTGGGAATTGTAGTCTCAAAACATCTGGAGGGCCAAGGTTGAGGAAGCCTGGCTTAGACTCTCCACACCTGTATCCATATGTTTCTGTATCACATATCAAGGCAATAAACACATGAAGCTCCATTATAATGGGCCATTTTGTTTGTTTCTACCTGTGAGCTTCAGCAG